TTCAGACCTACCAAACGGAGAAATTGTTTATGTTGGCACTAAATGACCCATTGGAACTTCCATCTCCCCACAGCCATCCACAAGCGGAGAAGCATACAAACATCCCCATCACACACACACACCCTCCTGAAATAACCCACATTACACAAAGTGCAGAATACGTGTCAGCAAAGATATGCAACAGGAAACGGGACCCAGCCTACACTAACACACTTCCCTCAGCAACTGCCCCCCCCCTTTTTGTCCCTGCAAATAGCCCCCTCTTGCTCACCCCCATCCTCACTCCCTCTTTTGCAGGGCAGTCCTTCTCCCCATACAACCCACTCCTTCCCCCCCTTTTTCCCCCCCAACTGGTCAATCCGGATGGATTCAAGGCCCAGTACTGCCAGGCCCTCCTGATGCCAGCGCTTCCCCACAAATGCCAGGCTCATGAAACCCAACCGGTGTTTTAGTGATTGAGTTCTTAGTTATTTATCCTGTTAGTCTACATCTGTGACAGACTCGGCTTTCCTTTCCAGATAAAAAGGGTGGGGTGTGTGTGTGTGTGTGCAGAAACAGGAGGTTACATAGGATTTTCCCTTGTCTGCAAGGGATCTCTGACCTGATCCTTCCCACTCAGTGGCACAGGAATCCACTAAACTGCCTGCAAAGAACAGCCCTGAAAGAGCTCTCTCCCTCTCTCTCTCTCTCTCACACACACACACACACACACACACACGCCCCATCATCTGCTCTCTTTCAACCCCTGGGTGGGTCCTCCTTCCCTCTGTCCTTTCGGGAGAAAAGGAGCAGCCTTCTAGACACAGGAAGTCCTCCCCTGATGAGCACAACTGGGAGCGGAACACCCGTTGCTAAGCAAGGTGGGCAGTGAGTGAGTCACACCCGATTTTACAACCTTTTTGCCGTGGTCCTTAAGTGAATTACACGGTCATTAAACTAACCCAGTTTACCCCACTGACCTTCCCTGTCAGGTGGCAGCCACCCAGGGACAACCACCCCGCTGGTTGCCAAGGGGCCGCAGGGAAGCCGCCAACAGTCACTAAGTCTGAAGACCAGCTGCAAATCTCTTTTTTCAATGCCCTTCAATAAGCAGATGGTCGTAAGCCACGGGCTCCCTCCATGGGTAGACATGGTCAGACCCACCTTACTGTCCCATTCCTCAAAGAGGCTGGCTTGGGGGTGCCCTACTCCAGCTCCCCCGTGTTCCTTTCCAAGTGGCTGGACCCACCCCTTCCAAAGAGGGCAAGGAGAATCTTCCCTCTCAAGGAAAACATGAAATTGCTGAAGTGAAAATGAAGTGTTATTAAATCCGATGATTTAGCGATAACCGAACTTGGGTAAACCGGAATGCCTCATCACTAGTTTGATTAAGACGGATGGCCATATATATGTGCAGGATGAACGAATGCATAAATAAATTGGAATGGGCCACTAACTCAGAAAATACATGATGTATTATATAGGGCATAAATCTATATGAAAAAAATGGCACAGCAATGATACACAAAAATATACAGCCAAAACAAAGGAATCATAAACACAGAACAGATGCTCAGTAAATATGAGGCAAAGATGCCCACTTCATAAGAGACGTAATAGAGGAAGACCCCAAGGAATTCTAGGACAAATTGGCACCAGGTCCAGGAGAGGAGGCAGCGCTACGGATGGGAAATCGGGAGGGAGAAACGGAGGAGCGTAGAATCCCCTGGAGATCCGAATGGGATCAACCCCCCCCCCCAGTGCAGAAAGAGGCGGAGGGGGTTTCGCAAAGTCTTCCTTTGCAAGCGACGGAGGCTCCAAGGAACCGGAAGGCAGCTGTGCCCGTGGCATCGCCCGACTCACCAGTTCAGAATCTCACAGGAGCCAGGAAGAGAGGGAGAAAGGCCCCTCAGTCTACTAGTGCACCATCATGCGGAAGACTAGTCTTTAGTGTCAGAAAATTAAAGAGAAGACATCTGCCACTGCTATGAGTGGAGAACATGTAGTCACCGTATAAAATCATTGTAAACAAGAAAGATATTGAGTGGGTTGTGAAAATGGATGTGAAAAAGGAATCTGAAGAGTTACAGAAAGAGACTGGCCACCAAGCCACTAGGCCAGGGGTAGGCAACCTTGGCTCTTTTATGACTCATGGACTTCAACTCCCAGAATTCCTGAGCCAGCCATGCCAAGGTTGCCTACCCCTACACTAGGCCAATTCCTTAAGGAGGCAAAGTTTTTACACAAAATAGGGCTGTGCATAACAAAGAGGCTCTAGAAAAGGAGTGTAGAAGATCAGAACCCCAAGACAAGACACAGAATGGAGGGAGATCAAGAGACTTTCTTGGCTCCAAAGAGCTCACACCTGGCCCATCTCCACCTGGCCTCCCTTGCCTGCGCACCCAGAGGGGGCTCCCTGGAGGAATCCCAACCAGATCATGGACAGCAAAGAATAATCCCCCCCTCCCCATTGCTAAAAGGAGGGGTGGACAGCTGGAAGTCTCCATTCATCCCCCCTTGAAATTTCCACCCCTTCACTCTTAAGTAACGTTTAGCAGCTGTGGAAAGCTAGAAGGAGAGGCCTTGTGTTACTGTAACAAGACTTAAAAGTCCCCCAAAATAATGTGCCTTACTTTGATTGTACATCTTTGTATGCACATGTCCGCATACAGGAAAGGGACGTGCCTTGAACCTTACGATGTTAAGGCAGATGTGAAGAGTAAGAGAACTACGCTGTGATCAGAGAAATTGGAAATATGAAAAATGTATTTTTGGTAGGCGTATAAGAATTTGCCTCATCAGCAAGAGAACATTGTGGAGAATGTTGTCAAGTTTGGGGTGGTCTGGCAATTTGTCAGAAGTTAATCCCTACCAGAAACATTTCATGGTATTCCAGAGGATTCAGCCCCAAGGGCAGCCTATTTCTGCCAGAACATCGCAAACACAGAAATAGAAAAAAACATAGACAACTGAAGGCAGAAAAAGGCCTAGTAGTCCATTGAGTCTGCGCTTAAGGTTTTTTTTTTTAAAAAAATTGTCAGATGATGGACATGTGTATCTCCCAAGCAGCTGGAAAGTCAGTTACTGACGACTGATCCACTACTTCCAATGGAAGTTGGTTCTAAGCTTCCAGCATTCTTTCCACGAAGTCTTACTTTCTAGCATGACCTTTGAACTTCCCTCCTGACAGTTTGAAAGAGCCTCCAGTTCCAAGGATTCCTCAGCAGAACACAGAGGACCCCCCCACCCCAATCCCCCTCTTCCTGAGCTTTACGTAACAATAACTTCCTTGCATCCCTGCTCAAGGGCTGGCTGAAGCAAAAACCAGTAACTTTGCCAAAAAGAACAATACATTTACATTACTCTGCTGTGGGTTTCCGTGTTTTCAGTGTTTTTCCATCCTCTCTGTCCATAACAATTAACGTAAATGAACTGTGTAGAATTCAGTTTGGGCATGAGGAAAATGCTTTCCTATCTCTAACCATGATCAGTGCCAACGCATCTCTCCGGAAACAAGGAAACCGATCAAAAGCTCATTTAAACCACACACAGGTAGGTAGTTGGGCTGGCATTTCTCCCCAAACGCACAGCGGTGAAAGAGCACATCCCAAAGAACCATCGTTTGGTTCTCCTAACCCAACAAAAGAAATTCAACCACATTTCTCTCAGTGGACATTTCAAAACTGTGCCTGACTGACTAGGAAAGAAGGCCCTCAGGCCTCCCCACGGCTCCTCCCTGCGCGTGCTAGTTCAGCGCAGTGGGGCGCTTGGAGGCAGAAGGCAGCATCCAAAGGCAGGACGAAGAAGCTAAGTGAATGTATCCTCTTTGGAGGGAGCCTGGCCATGGGCTCTCCTCTCAGGGGGCCAACCAAGGGAGGGTTTTTTCGGAAGGGGGGCACAGCAAGGGCCTCTCTCCCTTTGCCCTCAGAAGTGACTACTGCTGGCTAGCCATGTATTTCGGGGGGCGGGTGATTTTCTCTGGGCCCTCGACACCTCCTGCCCCTCCCCCAGACCAATGCAAGGACTCCTAATAGACCCCCCCAGTCCACAGAACGTCCCCCTTCCCCAGAGTGCACAGCTCGTGTGCCCACTTCCGCAGAGTAACCCAAAGCAGGGGGCATTTCCAGGAGCCCCCGACACCCCTTCTTCCAAGGGGCGGGGGGGGAGTATGGTGTATGCCCCCACCCCAAAGCTTCCAATCTGATACATCCTCGGGCATCTTTTTTTGCACAGCTGTTTGGGAAACTATAACTTAGGTGCAATTTGCAAACAAGGTGATTCTGGAGTAGATGCTGATCAATTGTTACTCTAACGCTTATCTGCAAGTGTTGTAAGGCAAAGAGAAGCAGCAAGGCAAAATAGGTCCTCCTCCCAGAGAGGCCAGCTCCCCAGGTGGAGGGCAGAGAGGGCAGGGCCGGGCCGTCCCCCAGCAGCCCAAGTTGCACCTACCTGGGTGTCGGCAGTCCGGCTACTGGGCGAGGTCTCCGAAGTCGGGCCGGTGCTGGGCGGACGGGGGACGTCCCAGGTGCTCCCGGGCTGGGCAGCTCCAGCGGGCTTCGGAGGAGGGTCCGCACTCTTGGGGTTCTCCAGGAGGGCCGCCTCGTAGAACTCCTGGATGTCTGGAGGGCAGGAAGGGACGGCGGCTGTTCGGGAGGAACTCTCCCCACCCACCCACCCAGCCCCCGCCCGGCCTTCCTCCGGGACCGAAGGAGCCTCTCCTGTGACCGGCCCCGGGGCCGCCTCTCGGCCAGCGCCCCCCCCCAGAAGCCCTTCCGCGAAGAGGGACGGGGGAGAGGCCGGACCCCCCCCCACGCTCTCTCCCCCCCCCGGGGCAGGCGGAGCCCCGGCCGAAGGGAGGACGCCGCTCTGCGCGCAGGAGGAGCCGCCGCCCACAGGGACCGGGCGGCAGGGAGGGTTCCGCCCGGCCACGCCACCACCTCCCGGGGCGCCGGGGAAAAAAGGGGCTGTGGCGGGGGGGGACTCTGCCCGTTCCGCGGCCGGGAAGGGCCGGTCTGAGGGCGGGGCGGGAACAGAGGCCGCCCCCGACAGATTCGCGCCGCGGGCCCCGCGCACCCGGGCCCTCCGGGGCCCTCCGCGTGGGAAGGGGACTCTGGCGGCGGGGCGGGGGGCGGCGGAAGGGGGGGTCCCGCAAGCCGCCGCCGTTGCTTCTCCTCCTCCTCCTCCCCCCGCCCCCACTCCGCCCCTCCCCCCGGGGCCCGCGCCTACCGAGCAGGGCCTGGAAGAGGCTGCTGCGGAAGATGCCGATCACCCGCTCCACCGAGCTGCGCAGCTGCCGGTCCCCCCGCGGGCTCAGCTTGGCGCGGTAGTCCTCCAGGAGCCGCAGGGCGCGCTGCGTGTCTGCGAGCCGGGGAGGGAAGGAGGGAGAGGACCGTCAGAGCCGGAGCCCTTCCTCCCCCGTCCCCGTCCCCGTCCCGGCCGCCCTCTGCATGCGCCCAGAGGCACGGCGCAGCCCACCCCCGCCACCGCCGCCCCCGGGCCCACCTTGCCTCCTGACCGGCATGGCTACCGCCGCTCCCGCCGCCTCTCCCCGGCTCCCCCCCCCCAAACCCCGTTCCAGCGACCCTCCTGGCTGCGGGCGGGCGGGCGGCGCCGGGAGCCCAAAACTTTTCAGGCAAGATGGCGGCTCAGGCAGGCGCCCGGCCACGCCTCCCGGCCGCCCGCCAATCCGCGCCGGCCGGCCCGCCCCCTACCTACCCGGCGGGGCGGGCCAGGTGAGCGCCAGGCCTCGGCCCCGCCCAGAAAGTTTCGGGCAGAGCCCGCGCGCGGGATCCGCCGATTGGCTAACCGCCGCCGCCTGGGCCTGCCCCCGACTGGCCCATCCCAACCCCGCCCTCCCCCGCGGTCCCAGCGCCGCCGGCCGCGGTCTTGAGCGGGGGGGGGCGCCCGCTCGCGTCAGCCCCGCCCCCCCGCGGGTGCGCCCGGGAGTCCCGTCCTGGGACAGCCCCGCCGGAGGGCTCGGCCTGCCCCTCCCCGCGCGGAGTTTGACCCCCCCTCCTGCTCCTTCCCCCCGCGAGGGGTCTTGCCTGCCCCTGCCCCGCGGCCACGACCCCCCGGGAGCCCCCGGCGCCCGAGCGAGGGAGGGGCGGCTGCGGGCGAGGCGGCGCCCGCTTGAAGAGCCCTTGGAGCGAGGGGCCGGGGGCGCTCTCTGAGCCGGGGGGAGGGGAGGGGAGGGGTCTTTTCCTGCAGAGGTTTCACGGTCCAAAGCGGGGGGGCTCATCAGCGCCGGGAGGAGCGGAGGGGGGCATCCCCACGGGGGGCCCTTCGGGGGGGCATGGAGCCTGCCGGAGCAGGGGGCGTGGGGGGGGGCTCTTGCAGGCCAGCCGGTCGAGCGAAGGCCCGGGGGGAGCAGAGCCGCAAACGGAGCCCGCTGCCCTCGGGCCCGGCGGCGCCTTCCAGCCCGGCGCCGCTGCTCTGCCTTTGGGTAACGGGGAGCCCGGCGTGGGCCCCGCGGTTTCCAGGCCCGATTCGAGCCCCGCTGCGAAAGGCGCGGGCGACCTCGGCGGGGCAGTTGTCGCGTGAAAGGCCGGCTCCGCAGCCGCGGCTCTGCCCCCGAAGAGGCTCGGTCCAGGCCGAAGAAACCCGTCAAGCGAGTTGGCCGTTTAGACGGACTTTCCTTTGCAGCCCCGGTAAATAAATAGAGCTGCCTCGTCCCCCCCCCCCCCCCCCCCCCCGCTGTGGAAGTGTTTGCTCAGATGTTGGGCGCTTTGATGTTGCCCTTCCGGAAGACCCCTCCCTGCTGCCCCCCCCCATTTGCCTGGATAGGAAGCAAGGGGGAGCTCTGCGGCTGCAGCCCCAGGGGAGGGGGGGCTTCTGGAAGGGGCGAGTGTCTGTGCCCCACCAGAGCATGTAATCCCTACACCATCTGGTTGGCCTTTTCCACATGACCAGTCAGACATCCAAGGCAGGCTGGTCTCTACCCAGCAGGCTATAAATCACAGGCTGGCAGGGCCAACAGCCTTCCCTGTTAAGACAAGGGGGGGGGGGGGCTGCTGTGAGCGCTGATTCCCAGGCTCTGCTCCCTGCAGAAGAAGCGGGCTCAGTCAGGGCCCAGAGACCGAAGGCTACCTAAGGGCGCAGGAGGAATCTGGGAGCAGCTTTTCCAACTAATACATTTCACAAAGGGATAATTTTTCATGCATCGGATGAATTAAGCTGCAGTTTAATTAAGTTTACGGCTTTTAATGAAATTTGCCAATTGGAAGAGCTACTACCAGATTCCTGAGTTGTTGCCACTGTGGACTAACGTGGCTCTTCTAAATTTGCAAAGAACCGTGACTGCTGGTGGTGGTGGTGGTGGTAGCTCCCTTGGAGGCATCTCCCAGGAGGAAACCGCAAGGGCCCATGGGGGAGGGAGAACCTGCACCGTCCTCTTGCAGCCAGGCATCTGGAGGTGGCATTGCTGCCCCTGAATTTTCCCACGGTGCTCTGCTGTGTTCTTCAGAGACAGCCAGCCAATGTTTTGTAACGATTTTATCTTTTTAATAAAGTTTAATTTTATACATCGCATGAAAGTCACACACCTTGCCTAAATGCCTCAGAAAAACTCATGGAGGCCTTCCGGCCAAGACCCAGGCTGAGCCCAGCGGTTTCCCTGATGGGAGGGGTATCTGGGAGGGATGGACTGGGCGAAGAGGGACTCCGTGGCCGGCTGTTGGTGTGGAGAAGTGGCTCCCCATTCCGAGGGAACCAGCCGTTCAGGGCTAATGGAGATGAAGGCAGAATGCAAGAATCCCCCCAAACAAAAACGGGGGCTGGCAGCATCTGTGGGGAGAAAGAGCTATGCTGGGCGAGGGGAAAGGGAGGAGGGGGCCAAAGGGGGCTCATGAAGGGGGCAGGGGGAGCACTGCAAGCTACAGAAATGCACCTGGGAGAATTGTCAAAGAGATGAGGTTCAGGACATGGGGGGAGGGGTGGGGGGAATCCTTTAGCTAGGATTGACTAGCATAACATCACCTGAAGGACTGCGTGGGGGGGGGCTCCCCCACCCTGTTGAAGATGTGCGAACAGAGCCAATCTCAAGCTCCTAGTCCCCACCTTTCCTTAAGCCCCAAATGTGCTGCTCCCCGTTGCCCTGAAGGGGAATTCCTCCTGGGCAAAGGCAGGGGCGGCAGCTGTGTTGGGGACTGGCAGGCTGGCCTTGCTGGCACTCAACAGGCTCCTTCACTCCTGCCCCCTTGCATTTCTCTGTGGCTTCCCGTCTGCTCGGGAATCACCACCACAAAAGATTTGGCCCTTTGGGGCTGAGGATGAGAGAGAGAAAAGCTGCGTCTCAAGCAGCAGCCGCAGAGGGAGAGGAGGTAAGGGGGCATCACCCCCAGGGCCCAGGCTGCTGGTGCTGGAGGCCGCAGGCTGATGGAGGGGGGAGGCAGCTCCTGGCCCTGTCCCACTGGCTATCCAGGGACTTCAGGGAGGATCTCTTGGCCACCCCCCCCGGGGGGGCCTGGAGACAGCACCTCCCAGCCGTGATGGGCTCGCTGGCTTCTCACAAAGCCCAATTCATCTGACAGTTTCTGCAGGGCTTGGAGGCCCCAAGCTCTGCCACGTGGGCCCCGCAGGCACCAGGAACAAGCGGCTTTTGTATGGGAGCCGCCCCCCCCATCTGCCTGGGATGTGGAGATGCTCCGTCCAGCCTTTGCCCTGTCCTGGTGGCAGGTCTTTCGGAGCAGCAGCCGGTTGCCAAGGTTGGCTCCTCCCAGCCGCAGCCAAGGAGCACCCCAGAGTCCCTAGAGTGTAGCAATCCAGCCCCAAGGGTGCACCAGGCCAAGGCAGCCGCAGTCTCGAAGGCAGGGGAGCCTCTTTGCTGTTTGTGGAGAAAGTCAGTGCAAGACATCCCCCCCCCTCTTCCTCCTCCAGTGGTTTGCTCATGTTGGGAAAAGCCTGGCTGCCTCGTGGGGGTAGGGGCGGGGGAGGCACCTGCAGGGTGCAGAAAGCAGGAGCCCCTCTCTCCATGGAGCCCCCATCTTTCTCCCATTCAGCAGCCAGAAGCCCCCCCCCCCGGAATGAAGCTCCTGCTCGTGACACGCAAAGGAAAAACGGGGAAGAAAACTTCCATTCAGACTTTTAGAGTACAAGAGATACTGACCCCCCCCCATGTTGCCTGCCTGCTTCCCCCCCTCCGGGCAGCCGAGGCAGAGGAAGGGGCGGCTCTGCTGCTGCTCCTAATGTAGGCCACCAGAGGAAGATCGGAGCTTTTGCTGGGATCCACCACGTTCATTTCAGAAGCATTTGGATGAACTAAGGCGACCCTCTAGATCCGTTACCCGGGAGGACTAGGGGCAACCAGATCAGGAGCGTGAGCTGTGGCCAGAGGTTTGGCGGGCACTCAGTGGATCACTCAGGAAATGCCCAAGCATTGTCTGGAACCAACCCAGATCCTGAGATACTTCATTCTGACAAATCCCTTCACTCTCAGAGTAATCGGCCTTCTCTGAAGCGGGAGGTGATCTTTCCGGGGCCTCCAGAGCAAGATCTCATGCCAAGGGATCTCAGAGGCAAAGAGGGGGTTCAAAGGGGATCTACCTATGTGGGTCTGGCCTGGGATCCCCCCCAGCTCCCCACCTCCATGGCCATAGACCACCACCAAGAGCCCCCACTCCCCACCCGATGACCATGTCCAGGAGCTCAGGACCAACCGGATCGCCAGCCGGTCCTCCAGCCCACGGAGGGCACACGGGGCGGCCTTCCCTGGAGAAGCTCCGGCCAGCCGCCTCCCAGCTGGTGCTAAGAAGATGACTCGGACGTGTCCAGAGAGTCGCCAGGGCTGGCCAAACTCCACTCGGGGGAGTTTTTGCTCTGCTTATTCTGCAAACATTCATGGGCCACTCTTGAGACTCTGCTAACGCTTGGCTTCCATCTTCTGTATTTATTTGTTGAATTTATTTGCTGCCTGTGTTGCCGTGGGGCTGCTTTAGGCCACTTACAACAGTAAAAAGGAAGGAAAGAAGGAGAAGACTGTAAAAAAAGCAGAAGCAAAATAATACAACAATGAAATGAAAAAGGAAAAAAATGGGAATGCATCAATATGATAACAGAAAAATGGACAGGTGGAGAGCAGAGAGCGAGCAAGGGGGGGGAGGTGGGGTCAGCCATCAATCCAGCAGCCCCCTCCAGAGGGAAAAATTCCCCCTTGGGGTCCCCAGGCCAGCCGGAGGGGGGGCATATCTTAGCCCGGAGGGTGGGAGGTCACAAAGGGCGGGTACTGCAGCAGAGAAGGCTCTTCCGGAGTTGTTTGACCGATGGGATCCCTAGGAGGCACAAGCAGGACAGGCATGTCCTAGCACAGGGATGTCAAACTGTCGGCCCGTGGGCCAGACGCATCACAACAAAACCGCGTCAACCCCATTCCCGTCGTAGGTTTGACATGTCTCTCCTAGCGGGACGAAGCGGTGCATCAGCTAGCCTGGACCTAGGTGCCACTGAGGGCTTTAAAAACCAGAACCAGCCCCTTTGGAGCTGCGCTCCGAAGCAGACCGGTAGCCAATGAAGTTCGCAGAGCAGGGGCATCATAGGAGCCATCCCAGTGGCCCCACAGACTGCTCTCACTGCCTCACTTTTGCAACAGCCGAAGCTTCCGAATGGCTTTCAAGGGCAGCCCCACACAGAGCCCATTGCAGCAGTCCAGATGAGAGATGACCAGAGTACAGGGAGTCATGATCCAGGAAAGGCTGCAGCTGGTGCACAAACTTTGTTAATTTTATTAAAAGTTTAAGAAGGAAATAAAAAACTAATATAAACTAATATAAAATGAGAAAAGAAGAAGAAACCAGAGCGAAAGCTAAGCATGCAAGAAAGGGGGGAGAAAGTAAAAGAAAAATAGAAAAAAGGTACAAAGAAATGGCTTTCAATCTTCTTTACAGCAGTTAATGTACAATTTTAAATTTACTTGTTATTCTAAATGCCACTCATTCTCTCAGCTCTGCCTAGAGCAAGAATCAGAATTCAGAGGGATCCGGGTGTGGGGTCAGCCCCCCCGTCCACCCCCAATTTACTACAACCCTGGAAACTTGCACATCACAAGACGCATTCTCACAATTAACCCGTTTTCTGGGGTTTCACAATCCAGCAGAGCATAAAGGAGAAGCTAGGATTTGCGCTGAGTGAATCCAATCTAAGGGAGACTAACATTGGTCAGTCTTAGCGCGCCCGCTGAGTGCAGATGCCAGGTCTTTTCCTGTTTAGGCATCGTGTGTGAACTCAGCCAGTGTGCAATATTGCCAGGCATTGGCAAGCAGCTTGTTACACCAAAGAACAGGAGAAAAAAACACAAGATTGGGGCGCACCGATATGCAACCCAGAGTTGTAGCCTGGCTAAGAAGTGACCTTTCTCAAAGCAGCTGGAATCCCTCGCACTGTCAGTCAGGTGGAAAGAGAGAAGCCATTCCCTGGGGGGGGGGGGGAGGGAGGGCAATCCTGAACCCAGAAAGGCCACCCCCAGGCCTCACCCTTCAGCCACACCACCCTGACTCACCAGCTCAGGCAAGTACTTTACCATCAAGCTAGGGGTCGGCATGTGGGAACAGCACATGGGGGTCAATGGCATGGGAGGACACCACCACCACTACCGCTGCTGCCCCCGTCCCTATCAGAAGACCACCAGAGAGCGAAGGGGGCACGGACAGAGCTGGGACCCCTAAGCTGCAGTTCCCCCGCCTCACTTTCCTCCCCCCCTCCTGCCACACAGAGCAGCTCAATCCTCGGGGGGGGGGGCTGCTCAGCATGCAGTCTCCCATTGGCCAAGACCCCCTTGGGGGCCCCACCCAGACAGGGCAGGGAAGCTGCTTGCAGACAATGCCAGCATGCCCAGCCGGTTCATTTGGCCCAGGGCAGGGCAATAGCCTCTCCCCCCCCCCCCGCAGTGAGCCAGGGGGAGAAGCCCACCACCCACCCATGGCCAGAATCCCCTCCTCCTCCTCCTCCTCGTACAAGGCAAAGGGGCTCCAAGCCGCTCTTTCCTGCAGACCCTTTTCCGGAAGAAGAGGCAGGAAAGGACCTTCCCCCCCCCCGAAAACACTGGGGGGCCCTTAAGAAAAGGCACAGGGGGACCACGATTCTCCCTCCCTCTCTCCTGCGCTCTTTCTCACACCCCCCACCCCCACTCCGGCCTGAGCCAAGAAGTGTCGGCTGCTGCAAGGGGGGGCAGGGAGGGGAGGGGGTGACTCCCGCCTGCTCTGCTGAAAGACCACCAAGCTCATTTAATGTCAGGAGGAGGCTCTTAATTAGACCAAAACGCTCGTGCCTGTTTTATTTCAGAGAGGGCCTGGGCAGCTGCAGAAGCACCACAGGTTAGCCTGGAAGGGGCAGGGGTCTCCTTTTCCTCCTGGGGGGAGAGACTTCCATGGCCCCCACAGGCCCATCTATCCCCCCCTCACAAGCCGTGGAGCAATGCAATATTAAAATGCAGCATAATGTATAAACGGGGGTCACATAACTGGGGGCCAAATGAATATAAGATGTTTTCGTGGGCTTCTGAGGCTGCGCAGTCTCTTTCTGGGGGCAGGGCGGAGTCTTCCACAGAGGGAGGGGCACAGCCAAAAACCTAAGGAAAATGCCCTGTGCCCTTTTGTGGATGTGCGGGGGGGGGGAGTTGGCCCGTGAAAGTGCTGTAGTGGGGAGAGGACAGCCCACCTCACGTCCTAGGAAAGCCCCCCCAGCCCATTACTAGGACAGAGACCTGCCCAGGATGGTGCCGCTGGGTCCTGGTGCCCGGCCACCTTCCTGCTTTGCCTCCTGGGCAGGGGGGCAGGGCCGGGGCCGGGACAAAGAGGAGGAGGAGGGGGGCACCTCTTGCCCTCCCCTCCCTCCCAGTGGCCAGGGGCATCTGGTCTCCGGACAATGAAAAAGGCCAGTGATTCAGGCAGGTTTGTCACATGGTTTAATGTTCATCGAAAGAGAGGACATCCGGTCACAGCCCCTCCCGCTTCCTAGTTGGGGGTGATGCTCCCTTGTCCTCCTTCGCTGGCAGCCACAGGCCTGGGCCCCCACGAGGCCCCTCCACACCCCTGGTGACAAGACGAGGGGTGCCAGATCTCGGCCAGGTCTTCCCGACATAACACCCTCTGGGAGGGGCTGCGGCCAGGGATTGGCGGCCACGAGTCACGCAGACTCCATGGGTTAGGATTGGGGGGCAGGCGCCCTGCTCAGCCTGACCTGCTGGGGGGGGGAGGAGTTTAAGTGCCAGGAGAAAAATGACCTTCACGGTCAAGATGGAGTGATCCATGGTGGATCCTGGGCTGTGGGTGGGTCTTGCTGCTGGGGCAGGTGGAAGGCGGCCTCCTCCCTCCTGCCCTGCGATTCCCCCCCACCCATCAGCCCCGGGACCCTAGTGCAAAGAACTCAGCCAGGAGCCTGATCAGCAGCCCCTGACTAAGGCCAGGCTGCCCCCCCCTTGCAGGAGGGACTCCGTGCACTGGCAGAAGCCCCCCCGGGGGGGTTGAGCCCACAGACACAGCTCCTCCGGTAGCAGAGGGACACGGCAGCGCTTGGTCCGTGGCAGCCTTGGAAAGGAGTGTGCAAAGACAGGTGTGGACAACTGGCCCCTGGCTGCGGCGATTACCCCCCCCCCCGATCAACAAAGGCCAGCGACCTCCCAGCAAGGGTGAGCCCCAGGCTGTCCAGGACTGGGCCGGCAGCCTTTCTCAAGGAGGGGACGGCTAGCTCCGAAGGGAAGGAGGTGACCGAACTCCCCCAGTGCAGGCCAGGCAAAGAAGGGAATACTTGAAATAAATCGCCTGGGTCCCTCTGAAAGACACGGGGTCATCCTGCCTACCAGACACACCATGCAAGGGGTTAAATTACGTCCCAATGTTTAAATTAATCACAGGCCTAAAATACAGACTTTAAAACCAACTAACCGAGCGGCTGCCGGAGAATTGTGCAGCATAACCTTTAGCGTGACCGTCCCTCGCCGGTTCGGCTCCAGCAGGGCCCCTCCTCCCCCCTCAGTAGATGTAGAGGCGGTCAGAAATGGCCGCGGGCATGTGGGTCATGACCTGCATGCGCAGCCACCAGTAGTAGTCCATGGGGTGGTAGCGGGTGTAGGGCGTGGTGGAGGTGAGGGCGTGGCCGATGCTCTCCACGACCGGCGAGGTGTCGGAGGAGCCGCTGCTGCAGTACGACTCCATCTTGGCGATCTGCTCGTCGAAGTACTTCCGCCCGTAGTCACGGCGCACGATCTCTGGCAGCTCGTCCCACATCTTGTCCGCGATGGACTGGATGCGCTCAGGGCTGTAGAGGCTGGTGCCGGCGATGAAGTTGCCCGGCTCCACGATGCAGACCTTCACATCGTGCGGACGCATCTCGTAGCGCAGGCAGTCGGAGAAGGCCTCCACCCCAAACTTGGTGATGCAGTAAGGGGAGCGGGCGGGGTTGGCCATCCGGCCCATCATGCTGCTGATGTTGACCACGCGGCCTGCCGGGGGGAGGGACAAAGGCGCCATGAAGGGAGCAGGCCCCCACGGGGACCCCACGCTTGCGAGCCGCCTCTGGATGCGGCCACCTAGCCTGGCTCGGAGGATGTGGCTCTGCCGGGATGAAGGAGGAACCCCCCCGCCAGCCCTTCTTCCGCGACCGCCACCCCTGCCATTGGCTGCGATGGGGCTCTGCGTCCACCTGTTCCAGGAAGGGGGTGGGGGACGGGGCCCCTGCTTACCTTTGGCTCTCCGTATCAGGGGCAGGAAGGCCTTGGTGGTCCGGATGGTGCCCCAGAGATTCACTTCGGCCACTTCTTTGTAGGTGTCCATGCTGGTGAATTCCACCTCCCCAAAGGTGGAAATCCCAGCGTTGTTGACCAGTCCCCAGAGCCCTGGAGAGGAGGCAAACGAAGCGGTCATCTTAGCCATCTCTGCCAGTACTTCTATCTGGGAAGAGGATTCCTACTTCTAGGAAGGCCAAAGGTCGGTAACCCTGTCCTTAGCTGAAAACTCCAGAGGCCCAACAGATGACAGCTGCTCTCTCCCTCCCTCCCTCCCTCCCTCCCTCTCTCTTTCTCAATTGAAGCCACTTCTGCCCACTCTTCAATCTTTCATTTTCAGGGAAGGCTCCTCCAGTTCTCCAGAACAGTTGTTGGAGGCTGGGGTGACATGGATTATCTGGGTCCCCTGGTTCAGATTCAGGGGCTCCTATGGAGGAGGAGGAGGAGGAGGAAGAGGAGGAGATCTGAAGAAGCATCCTCCAAAGGATTCCTGGCTCCAAACACAGCAGCAGGCAGAGACTGGGGTCACCCCCAGCAGCAGCAGCTCTTCTGGGGCTCCCTCCCTCCCTCCCAGACCCCACAGTCTTGCCATGCT